GTAACTTTTTGCCCTCTTGACCTCTTCTGATCTAGGGGTATTTTGGGGATTTCTCAGTGTGTTTTTTTCGTTTCCTTCCTCATTGTCAGGTAGAAAACTCAATTTTAGGGGGAGTTTCTTCTTCGTATTTTCCAAAAAAAATCGTTTCGGCCTTCGTTTCAAACCTCAATTCTGGAAAATCTGCTTTGGACCCTTGCTATCAGCATGTGCATGCCATTGGGCGCGGTATGTGGCACCGGTGGGCGCGCACATGGGCGCCGCACGCGCATGGGTCTGCCATGGCCTTCGTCGGGCCGCCGCGATGTCTCAACTTCAAACCATCGTTTCTCCCTCGTCCGGACTCCAAATTGAGTGAACTTTTTTTTGAACTTGACTAATTTTTTGCTCTCTTTCCAACGGTGTACTCGATTGCACCCGGATCTCCCTGGATAATTATCAGTTTACCATTTTAGCCTTAGGTGCTCGTTTTTCTTCGTCTTGCCGTTTCTCCTTCGTCCGGACTCCGAATCATGCGATTCTTGAATCCATCTTGATTAATTTTTTGTTGTCTTTCCAGCAGTGTGCTTGGTAGCACCCTAATCCATAGTTTCAGAAATGACTATTTTGCCCCTAAGGGCTTAATTGTTATTTTTTTTTTTTTATCTTAGCTTCCGTATTTGATTCTTTTGAGTTCTATGACCTCATGGAAGGTCATCAAAGTGTCTTAGAGGTGTGTTGTGCCTTGGGAAACCGTTGTTTTGTTTCTTGCTTCCGCATCTGGATCCGCTATCGGGTCAATCTTCGGTTTATCACAAGATGCACTGGCTTGAAAAACCAGGGTTGTCACAATATTACTCAAAATACGTATATAATTTATCTCTTATAAAGCTTGTTATTTTACTTAGTAGAGGATTATTTTGCTAGTGATTCCATTGAGATGTAATTGTGGTATCTATATATTATTCTTGCTAATTAAATTATTATAAGCTTGTGTAGCATTATGTTGTTGTTTAATTTAATGTTTAAGGCTTACAATACTAGCATGATTTGATTCCTTATATTGTTTTTAGAATATTAGTGTAAGCTTATTCATATTGTGGACTTGTTAATATTAAGTCATATTAGTCTTGAAGGCTTAGGACATGGAATGTGTGGTTTCCAACCTTAATTGTGCATGGAAGATGAATTATATGCATTGTATACATATGTATATGTTGTTGAAATTATTGTTGATTTTTGAATACTTGGGGCATTATTACTTTGACATAGCTAGAGTTTGGCTCTAATACGGGAGGTATGAGTTCTCCCCAATTATAGTGGCCACTTGGGTAGTTCCCGGCGGGTTAGTAGCCCGAAATAACTAGTTTTGTCTTGGTTGTGTTACATAACCGGATTTGATCTCCAAGATATTCCTATTATGTGATTTCATAATTCAATTCCAAGTTGACTATCATATGTAGTTGTAGCTTCTAGTTTTAGTTTTGGATATTCCATTTTGGCTTAGTATGCTCTTGTGTTGTGGATTATGATTAAAATGCTTCAAAGTTAGTTTTAGGATGATTCCTTAGCTTCACCTTGAGACTAGACACTAGGAGACATAATCCACATGTTATTATCTATATTACATTTGCAATACCATTGAAGCCTTAGGTTATCCGCATATGTATTTTCCTATGGAGTAATTTAAATTACTCACCCTAGTTGATCATTCTTTTTCATGCAAGGATGTACCCTTCTTGGATGCACATCATCCTGAGCTCGGGGTTTATACTCACATGAAAAGTGTTTAGCATGTTGTATACATCTTTTGGGATATTGATGGTTGTATGTAATATGTTATGTATTATATCTCTTTTGAAGGTGGAAATGGAATTGGGACTAGCTAGTAGACTTCTTGGTTGAGTCCCAAGGTCATTTGTACCTTAGTTCATCCTTTTGTGTAATTTGGAAGGCCATGTAATGAAGTCAAGGGCCACTTCTTTTTAAATGCATGTTAATGTACTTTTTGTATCAAATGTATAATTATGGTATCTTATAAGCCCCTCAATGTAAATGGCAAAATCGGGAGAAGTTCTCGAACCTAGAAATCGTTCCAACTTCCGAAAATTTCTAAAATTAATCTCGTCGCCTCTAATTGACTTAAAATAATTAAAATGTACTTTTAAAATTATTGGCTCAAGAACATGATCCAAACGGCCCTCGAGACCTGCGTGGCACGCAAAATGAGGCACAAAAAATAAATAAAATAAAATAATCCAAAAAAATCCTAGGATATTACAGGTCAGGCCCAAACATTATATGGGCTAAAATTTTGAAACCAAAACACCAAAATCAATATCAAACCACATGCCAAACGGGCCCTAAAACACTAGCTAATATCACATAGGTCCACGAAAAACATATTCAAAACTCAAAAGTAGATAAAATTTAGATTAATATTTTAAATTAAACACGTCACCTTAGATATCATTTTTCTTTATTTTTTTGACAAGTCATTCAAACTTTGAATTATCATGCTTGTTCATATTTAGCTTAATTATGATTGAAACATATTAACAAGTATAGGCTAGGTGTTACAAGGGGAGACTTCCCACATCGGATCCAGATGGAAAGTGAATGGGGTATAATTGGGTAGGTATGTAATACCTGTTGGGATTTATATTTCCTAGCATAACAAATTTCTATTTGGATTAAAGTGACATATGTTCTTAACATATCTAAAATATTTATGCTTTATACAATTGGTGAATTCAATATATTATATTTCGATTCATTATGGAATTGATAGTGTCCACTTGATTACAAGAGATATTTATATATGTATGTGATGTCGATCAATACATGAACACAAATAGTAATCATAAATAATTCATAGTCGGTAATTATGGATGGACTCATTATTAACTAAGACTTGAACTGGATCCGCGTTAGCTAGGTTGAGATATATTGCGAGAGGTATTGTATGAAATTACTTCCTATCACTGTCATGACATTTGACTCTTAAGCATGAGAGAAGTATAGACTCTTTTATTAATTAGTAATTATTTTGATTTGTTCGACAGAATCTTCGGAATCCATAGACTGGTATTTTGGGTAATTATATAATTAATAGTTAGAAGGTTATATTTTCAATATTTACATCATTATTATTTGTATTTATTATGGTTGATCACAAAGTAAATTCAAAGGCCTTCGTGTGTTTTTAGACAAAATGATTTTCTATATATTTATTTATTTAAATTATTATTTTTGCCAAACAAATGTTTTATTGTGATCAAGCCGGAAATAATCAAAGGTACCAAAATAAATATATTAATTTAGTAATCGGATTGGTGACTTTATTTATCCGATAACTAATTATGTATAGAGGGATCAAAGTGCAACATTGACTTAGAGGTTATTTATTACTTTATTAGAGTTCAATTAATTTCTTTTAGTAGAATAGAAATTAATTTATGAAATAATTGAATTGGTTCCATGGATCGGGCCAATTATTAATTTATTGTAGCCAAGAAAATAATAAGTTTAAAGGATTCTCACTCATAACCCAACTTGATATTGGAATCCCATTAGATTTGAGATATTACGTTAATTTTAGAGATTAAGAAAACTATATTGTCTTTAATTATTATTTTTATTTTGCCTATATATATATATATGGAGTCCATGTATATTTTAGATTATGCCTTAATTTGTGAAATAATTTTGGAAGACAAGAAATTATTTTCTCTCTCTAAGATTTTAGGGTTAGTATTCTCATCTAATGGAGGTTCCCACAAGCTTAGCTCTCCAAGGTCATTCATGGAAGTTATGGGTTATTCATAAAGGCAAGACCATTACCAAGAAGATGGAGATTTAAGGAGAAAGCATCTAGCAAATTAAGGGATCTACAATAAGTGAGAACATTTACGTTAGAGGAGAGATATAAGATTTACTCAAACCTTGATGTAAGTTTTCAATCTCTAATTGAATGGATCATCATATTCTTCATGCATAAAGCTTGTCTCTACACATGAATCAAGATTTTTATTTGAAAATCTCTCATAAAGTTTTAAAAACTTCCGATTCCCCATCAGTACCAACTTAAGCTTTTGCAAAACATGGGCAAACGCTTACCCGTTACAATTGATATCAGAGCTAAACCCAATCTTTGATCAGGTGTCACGTCAAATGCCCAGCTTGGAAGGCGTCCGGGTGTTTCACCCGGGTAGGAGGTGGCCCGATCACAACGAGGGCATTGCGAGTTTGGATGGGGGAGAATGTTACATGGGGAGACTTCCCACATCGAATTCGAAAGAAAAGTGAAATGAGTATAGATTGGTGAGTATGCAGCACTACTTAATAATTTAAATTTTTAAAAAATTAGAAAAACGTCCACCCATTACACTTAGTGACAACAAAGGTTCACCAACTCGTAACCCGAGATATGACTCAAGAATTGCGCGCACTTCAAATTGTGAATAAAATTATAATAGTGTCACAACGTGGAATGCACAATTAAGTGTCCTCTCACCGTTTTCTCTCTCTAAGTTGTTTCCTCCCTCTCTCTCTCTCTTTCTCTCTCTCTCTCTGACTTGTCTAATTCAATTCCCATATATTGAATTATTACTCTTGTAATCTCATATACAAGTAATCCTGGTAATTTTGGCTATAAATTTAGCCTCTTCTCATTAATTAATTACCCCTTATCAATTGTGTATATATAGAAGATGATCGAAGCAATCTGTGTACACCTACTAATATGTGTCTGCGTGTCTAAAGTGTCTGTTATTATATTTGATTGGAGCGTGACACAGATGGAGAAAATGGTCACAAGCAGCCAATTAACCCACCTAAACTCTCTTATCTTTCACAAAGTTAGTTAAGGTAGTTGAGCCCCATAACAACTCTAACCTATGTGTTGGTCCCATTAATTCAAACTCCCCATCTATAAATTCCCTCCTCCTCCTCGTCTCTCTCACCAACTTAAACACCAAATTTTCCATTCCCTTCATACCTTCACCTAAAAAAGAAAATACATCTACGTTCTACTCTCAAAGCCAGAAAGTACGTCAGACATGGAAGCTTTCATGCCTTCTTGTTCACGCCTAGTTCCGTGCTTGGTGATAGCTTTGATGGCTTCGATTATGCCAGTCTATGGCCAGACCACATCCCCTTGCACTACTTCCATGATTACCAGCTTCACTCCCTGCATGAATTTCGTCACGAATAGCAGTTCCAACGGAACTTCGCCAACACCTGACTGCTGCAATTCGCTCAAGGCCCTCACCAGCAATGGCACAGACTGTCTGTGCCTCATTGCGACCGGAAGTGTCCCCTTCCAAATACCCATCAACAGAACCCTAGCCATCTCCCTGCCACGAGCTTGTAACATGCCCGGTGTTCCTCTCCAGTGCAAAGGTCACCTCTTTTAACACATGCTTATATATATATAATTCTTCAAGTCTTACTCCAGATACGTGTCGGAACTCATCATTGATCATTTTTCTTTTTTTTTTTCTTTTTCAATGCAGCCTCTGCTGCCCCAATTCCAGCTCCAGGTACAATAAATTTTAAATTCTTTCAATTATAAATCAGCATTAAATAAATTTAACAAACTTTGCTTTATATATAGGTCCTATCGCGCTTGGGCCAAGTATATCTCCCGGAACATCTCAGAGTCCTACAGGTATGTATGTGTTTTTCTAGTAAATTATGGTGTGAAATTTGATTTGTCGCTTAAAAAACAATTTTCAAAAACTTAAAAAATAGAATCGGTTTTTTTTTTAATCAAGTTTTCATAAAAAAGTTTCCAAGTAGATTTTTATACAGTTTTTTAATTTTCAGTTCCCATGAAAACCGAAAATTGAACCCAGCAAAATCTTAGTGTTAGATGTTGCCAAAGCATTGTTATTAACACTTCATTTTGATTCGCAGCTTCTACTGTTCCTAAACCAGTGTCACCGGCTCTGGCACCGGAAGCAAATACAACTCCAGATGTCACTCCAACCGTGGGATCGGAAGCTCCAGCCACAAATACAGGGAGTAGGCCAGTTCTGACCCCATCAGCTGCTCACACTTTTTCACCATCTCTTCTGCTAGCTTTGTTAGGGGCTGTAACTTTGAAGCACTACTATTAGTTTTACTGTTTGTTTTTCCCTCTCCCTCCATCTCTCTCTGGTGTGAGGAATTACTATTGTTTTGTTTCGTATAAATTGATGAGTTCTTTTATTAAATGAAATTTGTAACATTCACGTAATAGACTAATAGTGGAATAAAATATTATTTTTTGTTGAATTATATTCCTATTTCATGGTTAGCGCTAATCCTCGGAATGTTTAGTATAACATTCAATAAGGAAGACAATGAATTAACATGGAAATTTCTCAGTTTCACGGTTGGGATTGTGGAATACAAAGCAATCTTCAGAATTATCAAGTTCGTGGACATTTTAATTAATATATGATCGAGTTCTATCGTAATGCATGCATGACGACTAAACAGGAGACTATAAAAACTAGTTTGGCAATTCAGGCTCTTTATTTTGGGGGCCTATATGGGCTCCCGGGGTTGGGATGTAAGAAAAATTAGCAACTTGACACGAGATTCTCGAACAAGAAAAATGATTCAATAATTTCTAAAAAATCGTTTGCGGTGAAAATCTCATGTACCACTCAATTTCAAGTGAAGAAAGCTCATGCTTCATTTGTGCTTGTTATCAGTCACCAAGAAAGCTATCTAGCTTCCAAGTTGGTTAAGAAAATGTTATTCTTGCTTTCCATCAGTTGAAAGAGTCTCCAACTCACGCCTTATTCTTTTTTTTTTTTTTCTTCCTAATTGGTACTTACACACACTTGTCTTTTCTGAGATTTGAACCCCTGACTTCCATTTGATCCTCGCACCTTATTCAAAATTACCAACTCAATTTGTATGAGTTAAAGAATCCTATATATGAACATTGTGACCAAACAAGTGTATGAATATTGCTACCTTAAGGATTTTTATTCATTATTTATTTATTTTTATTTATCCCGGCAAATTAGGGAAAGGGAGACTCGAACATGGGCACACCTTCTCAGAGAACTATGCGCTTTACCAACAAGACCGCTGGGTAATGCCCTTACCTTAAGGATTTAAGGACCCTAGCTATATTATTGAAAAAATATAACATGTGAGCACTTGATGAATGATGTGATTAGGTAATAAACATGCAAAACCACCACTTTGGACCAGTCATGCGTATGTGCGTGTGTGGTGTGTGTGTATATAACTTGGAGGGCTGAAGACATATGTCAATATACATATACTCTTATTATACATTTGAGTTGCAGTGATGGTCAAATTCACTTGGGTTTTGGCAATTCTACTGTGTTTTTTACCTTCACTAGTAAAAACCCAAATGCAAGATTGCTCCACCTCCATTCAGGGAATAGGGCTTGAACAGTGTTTGGATCAAGGTAATAGCAACTCCAACACCATTGACAATTGCTGCACAGCCCTCCAACACGCACTTGAAATTGGATTCAACTGCTTGTGCTTCCTACTAGCATCCACCACTCCTCTCCTCACCACACCACTTGTATTGCCCTTGTCCAAATACTGTTACGTAACGCTACCTCCATTAACTAAGTGTCGAGGTAATCCTGCATCCATCTTAGTCTTAATTAATTTCTCGCAATCTTTTATTTATATATATTTGTGTTTTATAATTATTTATAGGTCTTGTACGTCCGGTGCCACCACTAAAGCCACCGGCAAGTCCAATGCCAATGCCAATGCCAGTACTACTTCCACCAGATATTGTGAAGGATGATCAGCCGCAAACTTCTGCTCCGACTGGTTTGGTTGTGCCCACGCCACCACGAGAGGTCCAGATTCCGGTGAATTCCCCGACTCCATCACATGAAAATTCTACCATGGTTCCATGGCAGCCACATCTAAGCGCCAATTCTGTTCCTGATTTGAGCAGTGTGTTCACGAGTGGGAATGTGACATCACATGGAGGACACAACACTAAGATTTTGTTACATTTGAGCTTCTTCCTCGCAGGAATGTACTTTTTATGCTTGTAGTACTATTAATATTATAAGACAATAATTTTCTTCATTTTCCTAAATATGCACTACTTTCATTTTTTATCACTCAAAAAAATAAATAAATATAATTAATTATTTATTTATTTAAAGAAAGATGTAATCATAAAGGCTGCCCAGTGATGCTAGGGGTGGGTTGAACTCCTCGACATACATGGACTGACGGACTCAGAAAAGTATGTAAGGGCTGTCCAGTGAGCAACCAAAGTTTTTTTTTTTTTTTTTTTTAAATTTCAGTGGGACAAATTTAAAATTTTATGCATATATAATTCAAAAATAAAAAAAGACCTTTCGGTAACAGGTCCAGCTTATGTGGCATAGTCCTTTTTATCTTTTTTTAGTTAAAAGTGGCATAGTTCTTATCTAAACTCGGAACGAACTCGAGAGCGAAAGCGTGATAGTAGTAGAATTAAGTCATAAATAGTGAGAATTTGAGGAATAGCTCGCAGAACATGAGAGTAGGAGTGCACTCGAAACGTGAAAGCAACATTTATTAAGAAGGATTTTGTAACTTAAGTTCTTATTCAATTGTTGGGTTGCTTGAAAAAAATTAATAATAATAAAATTTCTGGGTTGCAATGTTAGACAAGAACACGGAGGGCATTATTGGAACACACTACAATACACACACTCTTTCCCGCCATTCGTTTCGTTACAGGGCCTTCAACTTCTTCATAACAGAACAGAAAAATCGTCCAGCTCATATTCTCTCTCCTCCCGAAGCAGCAACCAAACGCAGCTTTACAAAACCTTACTCAGCTAACCGTCCATGGCGCCGAACAATCTGACCCTCTTCTTCCCGGCAATGATCGCACTCCTCCTCACGCCGCCACTTCTTGCTGTGGCCTCTACCGCGCCGCCACCAGCGAAAGGCTGTTCTGACGAAATCGTATCATTTTCGCCATGCCTTCCCTACGTCTCCTCTTCCCCAAACAACAGTTCGTCCTCCCCTTCGATTCAGTGCTGCGATGTCTTCTCATCGGCTTTCGACACTGGCGACGCCGACTGCCTCTGTTACCTCAGCCGTCGGCCTCTGCTCCTCGGTTTCCCTGTGAACTCGACTAGACTCTTCTCTCTCTCTTCTCTCTGTCCTCCAAAGAATGCCGAATCTCAGACTCGTGGCTCCCTCCAATCCATCTGCTCAGGTTAGGTTTTGATCTTCGTATTTTAATTGAATTTCATAATTAATTTGTACCGATCTTCGAAGTGAGTGACGAAATTGAAGAGCGATATACACTCATTTATGTATCTATGTGTGTTTGCATCGATCGCTCGGCTCTGGATTTACATATTTTGATTCAATTCATGCTTTCAGAATTTAAATTTCATTCGAATTTGTTGTTAATTTTGAACATTTCGAATTTGGTGCGCATCTTCGTCTTCAAGTGAAATCAAAGAGCGGTACACACATATATACGGAGTATATATGTATGTGTTTGTGCCTGTTTGTTCGTGTGTGTGTATATATATATATATATATATATAGGTGTGTATGTATATATTTATGTGTGTGTTATTATGTGAAAAAATATCTTTATAGGTTTTGCCTTCCCCTGATTTAGGCGTAGGATAACAATCTAACAATTCATGCGCACGTTAGCTCTTCAGAGCTCTGTGCTGCAGATGAACTCGTGTCCACTCAACCTAAATGTCAAATTTGTATAGGATGAAGAAACCCCGAAGCTTAGAAGCATGAAGGTGTTTGAATTAGAGAGGTGTAAATAATTAATCTCAATTAACCATGATAATCACTAGCAGTACAAAAAAAAAAATAAAAAAACAATATTTAAACAAAATTACACACTCTGGTTGTAGCATGAACCTTTCATTAATTTGGAATTGTATATCTAATGTGGCTTTCTTATTAATAATTCAAGCACCTATGAACCATATTCACATATGCTTACAGATATGTGCATATTATAACATAGCCGTGCATAAGTGGAAGGTAAAAGAAAAAATATGACAACCCTGATCTTCCTTGTGAATGAATGTACTTAGTGTTGAAAATAAACTTGATTTTAGTATTTAGTATTTTCAAGTATTTTTGTATCCATGATGCATGTGTTAATTTAGCATGTTAGTGGATAGTAAATTGTCTTAGTGGGAGTTAAGGTTATGTAAAATAAAGAGTCATGAGAGTTAAACCTAACAAATACTATGTTAGTGGGAGTTATGCATATTGAAGATTATGTTAGTGGGAGATAGGAGAGTTATGGACATTTAAATGTAATGGTTACACATACATATGTGAGGCCTATATATTCATGTACTCTAGTCAAATAATAGATAAAAGTGAAATAAAAAGTATTTTCCTCCATTTCTATTCTCTTCCAAATAGTATAGTGTTGTGTGTGTAACTAGGCCACTATTTCCAACAAAGTAGTATCAGAGCCTAGACGATCCTGAAGGCCAGACGAAGTTGATCCTAGAAGGTTCAACATTTGAGAGAAACATGTTTCTCCTTGATGATGATGAAGGGGAGAAAATGTATTTTCTTAGTGAAAAGATAATGTTCTCTAATTACAAGAGAATGAGAATCATCATGACTTCATACCTCAAAGCATGCGATTTGTGGGATATTGTTGGAGAAGAGCCAAAGAATGGTATATCCAACAAGCTTCATGAAAAGAAAGAAGATAAGGCATTTGTAGTGTTGCAAAAGGCAATACATCAAGAAATTTGGGAGTATTTTGGAGAGTCCAAAACTCCAAGTTGTATTTGGAAGATGCTAGAGACCATCGTTTCCAATCATAGAGGTGAATCACTACCCATGGAGTATTGGGTACAATGCTTTGAGAATGATGAGTTTACGAAAGATGATTATGAAAGTCTTGAAGACAAAGTTGTGGAGAATGAAGAGGTGTATCGTGCAAAAGAAGTTGAAGATTTTGGAGATTCAAAAGTTGAAGGAGAATTTGAAATGGTGAATAAGGAAGAGGTAAGAAAAGGTGTTAAAGAAGAGATTGAAAAAGTGAAGGAGGATGAAGTGAAAATAGAAGATTTAGAAGAAGGAAGTGCTAAAGAAGAGGCAAAAGTTCAAGTTGGTGAATTAACATCTTCAGGTATGGTTATAAATTCCACCTTGAAAGAAGTTATATTTGACTTATTTGATGAAATTATTATTTCTTCATATTCATCAAATAATGCTTATTTTGTGGAGAATGATGAACTTCTCTTAAAGAAAGTTGTTCCAAAGAAGTATGAGATTGAAGTCCAGGATGATAAGAAATTCTCATATTATTTTTTAAAAAATAGTTTGGAGAATTTTATAATTGATACAGGTTAAGTGAATATGAAATTATTTTTTGACTCTAAAGAAGAAGTATATGTGAAGTTGAAGATTCATAAAAAATTTAAGAAGAAAAAAGATCAATGATGTGCTTGTATAAAGAGGATGATATATGATTATGTGAAGACATCAAACAAGCATTTGAAGAAGTTTCACAAGCCCTACACATCAATGGAAATGGCCAAGAAGATTGAAGCTATTGAAGGAGGTGGAATTGAAGATCGACTATCGAACTTTTGATCAAGCCCCCAAGATTAATAAGAAGGTTTTTCAAGTTACAAAATCAAGTTTAAAGGGGGGTGTTGAAAATAAACTTGATTTTAGTATTTAGTATTTTCAAGTATTTTTGTATCCATGATACATGTGTTAATTTAGCATGTTAGTGGATAGTAAATTGTCTTAGTGGGAGTTAAGGTTATGTAAAATAAAGAGTCATGAGAGTTAAACCTAACAAATACTATGTTAGTGGGAGTTATGCATATTGAAGATTATGTTAGTGGGAGATAGGAGAGTTATGGACATTTAAATGTAATGGTTACACATACATATGTGAGGCCTATATATTCATATACTCTAGTCAAATAATAGATAAAAGTGAAATAAAAAGTATTTTCCTCCATTTCTATTCTCTTCCAAATAGTATAGTGTGGTGTGTGTAACTAGGCCACTATTTCCAACACTTAGTCAAAAAAGTTGATGGCTCTAGCTTTTTTCAAGTGACTCCATTAAATTATATATAGTTTGGGATAAAAGATCTCAAGTTTTCATGTTATGCTTCACACATTCAATAAAATATATTCCCATTGAGAATAATCAGGATGCAAATTCAACCCCTTTTCTTTTCTTTCAATAATAACTAGATGCATGTTCTCCAGAAAGTTTATTTATACTTGTATGTGTTTGTGTGTGTGTTCATATCGTATGTATATGTATGTCTGTATGTATATATGTAGACAGATGTATGTATATATATATATATATATATATATATATGAATGTGTGTGTTATTGTGTGAAGTAATATATTTCTAGGTTTTGGCTTCCCCTAATTTAGGCGTAGGTTAACAATCTAATCAATTCATGCGCGAGTTAGCCCTTCACAGTGGTCTGTGCTGCAGATGAACTCGTGTCCACTCAACCTGATTAAGTGTCAAATTTGTATAGAATGAAGAAACCGCAAAGCTTTACAAGCATCAAAGGGTTTGAATTAGAGACTGTAAATAATTCATCTCAATTAACCATGATAATCCCTAGTTGTACAAAAAAATAAACACGAGTAAATTAAAACAATATTTAAACAAAATTACATACTCTGCTTGTAACATGAACCTGCCATTAGTTCTAAATTGTATGTCTTAACAACTCAAGCACTTATGAATCATATTCATATATATATACAGATAAGTGTATTTGTAAATAAAAAATAAATACAGATATATGCATATTAATATAACATAACTGTGCATAAGTGGACATGCAATTAGTGATGCCTTTTTTTTTAGTAGTATTTACATACATATGCTTGGTTGATAATTAAATAAAGATACAATAAGAAAGGTAAAAGAAAAAATATGACAACTCTGATCTTCCTTGTGAATGAATGTATTTTGAGACTCTAATACAAAAAATTTAGATTATTAGTTTGGCTTTGAGCATTCTTGATAAAAGTTGATGACTCTAGCTTTTTTCAAGTGATTCCATTAATTTATATATAGTTTGGCTTTGAGCATTCTTGGTACAAGTTCTCAAGTTTTCATGTTATGCTTCACACATTCATTAAAATTTATTCTAAATTGAGAATAATCCGATTGCAAATTCAACCTTTTTTTCTTTTCTTTCAATAATAATCAGATGCATATTTTCCGGAAAGTTTAATTATTACTTCATGTCTCATTCTATTTTTTTCAATTTATTGTGCATCAGGATCACTAAAGCTGCCTCCTCTCCTTAGCATAATTGGTATGTTAATTTTATTTTTATTTCTCTAATTCCCCAGAAATCATGGAATTACTCATGGTGTGAATTTATCTAGCAGGTCCCGGAATTCCAAGACATCATGATTCTGGTAATCTCAATTAGTAAATCACTTTTTCATTATATTTTCTACAACTTTTTCGTCCTCTACAGTTATTTATTGGATTACAAATTTGGGATAATTTTTTTTTATTTTTTTTATGCTTCATGTTTTTTTAATACATTTTGTCTCAGAATTACTCATCTTTGAAACTTCTACATTTAGAAACCAAATTTAGTTTGTAGACAAAATAATGCCTAGGTAAGCTATCTGGGGAGGTCTCCTGTAATTAGTACTGAAACTTGAGCTCATTTACCTTACCATATGATAAAAAAAAAATTAACCATGGAAATGATAGTCACACAATAATTTGGAAGAAACCTTGGATAACATACAGAATGTGAAACATCAGCAACTGTAATAACATGGTCTGAAACACTATATTTGTATCACTAAATTTGGGAATTCTTTTTTTTTTTTTTTCGTGTTTTTAATGTGTCAAGTTGTCTGAGAGATACTTTTTTTTTTCTAATTGGCACTCACACACATGTCTCCACCGAAATTCGAACCCCTTACCTCCCTTTGAAAAGCCTGAGACATGCTCATCTTTGCCACTTCCGCATTTAGAGACCAAATTTAGTTTATAGACAAAATAGTGCCAAGGTAAGCTAGCTTTGGAGGTCTCCTATGATAAAAATAACGATGGAAATGATATTGACATAGTAACTTTGGAAGAAACCTTGGATAACATACCGAATTGAAAAATCAGCAACTGTAATAACATGGTCTGAAACTACTACCATTTGTGACACTATTTTGCAGGTCGCGATAATTCCACGCCACCT